GAAAAAGTAGATCAACAACTCACTAGTAGCTGAAATATTTAAATCAAAATACTGTACTCACTTGAGTGGACAATGAGGAGGACCATGCAGGAGAAGAAACCAGTAAAGTCCCTCAGGCAGAACATTTCTTCTTTCTCTCTTGGATGTGATGGTAAGATGCACTGAAGCTCACCTCAGTTCTCACACTCGTCTTTATGTGTTTAGGTCAAAGGATGTGGTCTGACAGTGAAAACTCATATGTCAGAATATTGGACGCAATCGTGACATGAAAACTGATGTGCACTATCCCCGAGCAGAAGTCTGTGGTAACCGTTGTTATAATTTACCGCTCATCAGGCCCATTTTATTCACAGGCTGCTGGGTGGAGACTTTAAGTGATGCAGGTCATAATCAGGGTGCAGAGGTGTCAGTGAGGGAGCTTCACTTCACTTATGAGTGACTTTATTAATGATTCAGAGGAAAACTAGACTGCTGGAGAAAAGTGAATGTTAAACCAAGCAGGTGGGACAAATGCACAAAAGATAAAACCCTCAGAATGGTTTATTTCTGGAGAACAGGAAGCTTTAATTTATTGTTACCTTAATGAAATGTAGGAAAATGTGAGTTTTGTTTAATCAGTACAACAATGTAAGTGTAAAACAGGAACATAGCACTTTGTGAAACAACTAATAAACTGTGGGATAACAATGAAATATGAGAAACTAACCAGTGAGCATTAGACATGTTCCTATAGTCTTTATACTGGAATAGATAATTAGCGGCTGACTGCAGCTTCACATTAATTGTTCAGGTATGAGAGTGGAAGAAAATAAGCATCAAGTTCTTTAATATTCTTCAAATGAACAGAAAACATCAATCAAGTCATCAATCTGACAGCTTTAGTTTATTCTTACTGACACAGTTTTCCACCACAGACACAAACAAATACACACACAACAACAGTAGTTTACAGCTCAGTGAAGAAGTGCATCATTACTTTTAATTGAGGGTCACGGTGGGGGGGGCACACTCACAGAAGAGATGTTGCCATGGAGACTGTTCCTACATGACAGAAGATGGGCTGATTTATGTTTGAGTTTATAGTTGTTGGTTTGATTCCACCACAGTGGCGTCTCCATGGCAATGTCTCTTCTGTGATTGTGCCCCCCCCACCGTGACCCTCAATGAGGATATGGAACATTTGTAGTCATAGAAGGTGCCACTCATTAAAAGTAATGATGCACTTCTTCACTGAGCTGTAAACTACTGTTGTTGTATCTGTGGTGGAAAACTGTGTCAGTAAGAATAAACTAAAGCTGTCAGATTGATGACTTGATTGATGTTTTCTGTTCATTTGAAGAATATTAAAGAACCTGATGCTTATTTTCTTCCACTCTCATACCTGAACAATAAATGTGAAGCTGCAGTCAGCCGCTAATTATCTATTCCAGTATAAAGACTATAGGAACATGTCTAATGCTCACTGATTAGTTTCTCATATTTNATCAATCAAGTCATCAATCTGACAGCTTTAGTTTATTCTTACTGACACAGTTTTCCACCACAGACACAACAACAGTAGTTTACAGCTCAGTGAAGWAGTGCATCATTACTTTTAATGAGTGGCACCTTCTATGACTACAAATGTTCCATATCCTCATTGAGGGTCACGGTGGGGGGGGACACAATCACAGAAGAGATGTTGCCATGGAGACTGTTCCTACATGACAGAAGATGGGCTGAATTATAATTGATTTATGTTTGAGTTTATAGTTGTTGGTTTAAATCTGGGGGGAATTAAAACTGTGGTGACTTTGCCACAGTGGTACCCAACATGGGGCCCAACATGGGGCCCAACACGGGGCCCAACACACATCCAAACCTGGAGCACAAAAGACATGAGGGATGCATGTTTGTTTCATATCACATGGTTTACATTAAGTCCTTCCTACCTATTTTGACGTGTAAAGTTGTCGGATCACTTTGAAGGATCCTTTCACCACCAGTCACAGTGTCGGGCCGAACAACAAAAGCCGTGACCTTGATGAAGGTCTCTGGGGCTAAAGTCAAGCTGGAGATGTTGACGCTCATGGAGTTAGAGCCATTGGTGTAAGAGAACAGGAGTGAGTCACATGTGCTGGTACATATCGTCACGTTGTAACTGTGTGGTGTCATCTGCATGAAGGCAGAGATGTTCCAGCTAAGATTCAACTGGTCATTGACCACTGATGCTGCCTTCACTGACTGTGGAGAAACTGGACCTGTGAACGAGAATAAACAAGCCAGTCAGGTCGGTTTCACACCTGTTGTCCAGTTCACGTGAGCTTAGAAGTTTCCTTCCTCTTACGCGCCAAGATTGTTGCTGTTATACGTCACACATGTAACTAATGAGGGTTTGGGTATGGCTGTTTTAAAGTCTATGCTTGGTTCTTGGCAGGTAGGGTAGATGTATTACTAACATCAGGAATGGCTCAGTTCCATTCAAGTATCCCTGCAATTCATGACAGTGTGACAGTAGCTGTGTCTCAATTCAGGGGACGCATCCTTTAGAGGCTGCATTTGAAGCACAACTACATCACAGCAGTGCGACTAGCCTGTACCATTTCTCAGGGTCTGTCAAACACAGTCGACAAATGGGCCCTTTCATCCCAGAGAGACAAACAGGTGGATCCTTCTCAGGCCAACCTATCCCAGCATTCATTGCACTTCAGTGATTAACTGTTTTTCAAAGAGGTAATGGCGTCTGCCAAGTGTCCAAACTGGCACAGCGTCTTCTGTAATTCCTCCTGTACCAGTGTGTGTACTTCAGCTCTTCCCCGTTCACCCAGGTCCAGTCACTGAAGCTGCTCTGACGCCGCAGACCGAGCCAGAAGCTGACTTTGCTTGTAAGGGTGCCATTGAGGAGAGTAAAGTATTGCTCCTAGTGTTTAGCACGGCGAGGTCCACATAGTACTGCTGACAGAACTCCCGCGCTTTGGACCGGGATCTGACCCATCGCTATGGCAAGGTACATCACTGAGGGGACAAAACAGAAAAGAAGTATGGTTGAGCTTTTCACAGTGTTTCTGACCTGATTCCCTGACTTGGCATGAATGGATTACTGAATTTTAATCTTCTAACTAAATCCAGTGTTTGTTTAACTTGATGTTTTTGTTTCATAGCACAAACTAATCTTTTAGAAAGAGTGCTATAGTGTTTAGCATGCACCTGCAAACTTCTGAAGAAATACAAAACTGACAATGCGAAAGTAACACAGAATTACCATAAACAGATAACATCAGCTGCTAACAACCACAAAAACATGCAGAATGACTGAGAAGATGTGATGAGATACCAAGACAACGATACCAAGAATGTGGCTGCAAACATTCTCAAAATGTCTTGTTTCTCTTTCAAACTCACTAAATCATTACAACCTGAAATAAATGTTTTGTCAAAGAATGTTTGTTTACCCAGAACAGCCAGTGGCAGAAGAATCTGTGTCTCACACCCAAACATCAGATCTATTTTTTTTTTTAAATCCTTCTCCCTCCAGCAGTATTTTCCAAATCCTTTGAGTCTGACTATGGAAGAGATTGTCTTCACTGCTTAACCCATCCTCTGTCCCCTCTCGTCTAAACGTCCTGCTGCTCTGGAAGTTTTATTTTATCAACTCGTCAAATTAAAGAGGTGGAAAAGGTGGGATTGGCCGTGTTGTCTGCTCACCTGCATTCCAGAAATACTCCCGTTCTTCACCTAACAATGATTCAGAGATTCTTAGGTGTTTATTAAAGGGCCTATATACTTCCTTATCACTGTGGTGAAACAACAGACTGTGTACTTTGCAAACCAAGTTCCTGAACAGGCTGAACAGTGCAACTCAAACTGAACACTGGGAAAAATGGGTTGAGCTTTTATAGGAGCTGCTAAAAATACTGTTCTGTAGCCCCTCCTTGCACTGATTTAAGTGCTATAAAGCAGCATGGATATTATTAATTCAAGCACAGTTTATACATAACAATCAGACAGTCAGTTGCTAGAACAATCCACAGCTTGAGAAAATGCATGATATGTCCACAAAGAAGGTAGATCTGCCGTCCTGGGTTTTAATGGTGACCTTATTGCAAAGACAACATGTACTGTAAGTGATATCCAAGGACGCACCCTAGTTCAGGAGTTCTCGTTTTGCCAGTTTATACTTGAACTCATGCACAGTGTTTCTGAATATATGATGAGGAGTTATTCTCTCTCTCTATTTTGAAGAATGAACAAAGCATCAGAACAAAAACATACAAATGCAGTAAATTCTACTCATCAGCTTTTTCAGCAAGTGAAGTTGTTGGATAAGCCACAAATCTTATGATGATGCTGGAGGGATTCAGCCTCTTGAGGCCCTGATGGTCATGATAAAACTTGCTGGCACAGGTCGTTGGTTTCTAAAATTAGGGGTCTTGGTTTGCGAGAGAATTTTCCAGGAATCCAAAAATGTTTTAAATACNTAATATTCTTCAAATGAACAGAAAACATCAATCAAGTCATCAATCTGACAGCTTTAGTTTATTCTTACTGACACAGTTTTCCACCACAGACACAAACAAATACACACACAACAACAGTAGTTTACAGCTCAGTGAAGAAGTGCATCATTACTTTTAATTGAGGGTCACGGTGGGGGGGGCACACTCACAGAAGAGATGTTGCCATGGAGACTGTTCCTACATGACAGAAGATGGGCTGATTTATGTTTGAGTTTATAGTTGTTGGTTTGATTCCACCACAGTGGCGTCTCCATGGCAATGTCTCTTCTGTGATTGTGCCCCCCCCACCGTGACCCTCAATGAGGATATGGAACATTTGTAGTCATAGAAGGTGCCACTCATTAAAAGTAATGATGCACTTCTTCACTGAGCTGTAAACTACTGTTGTTGTYTCTGTGGTGGAAAACTGTGTCAGTAAGAATAAACTAAAGCTGTCAGATTGATGACTTGATTGATGTTTTCTGTTCATTTGAAGAATATTAAAGAACCTGATGCTTATTTTCTTCCACTCTCATACCTGAACAATAAATGTGAAGCTGCAGTCAGCCGCTAATTATCTATTCCAGTATAAAGACTATAGGAACATGTCTAATGCTCACTGATTAGTTTCTCATATTTGATGAGAGGGTTATATCTTTTGTGCATTTGTCCCATCTGCTTGGTTTAACATTCACTTTTCTCCAGCAGTCTAGTTTTCCTCTGAATCATTAATAAAGTCACTCATAAGTGAAGTGAAGCTCCCTCACTGACACCTCTGCACCCTGATTATGACCTGCATCACTTAAAGTCTCCACCCAGCAGCCTGTGAATAAAATGGGCCTGATGAGCGGTAAGTTATAACAACGGTTACCACAGACTTCTGCTCGGGGATAGTGCACATCAGTTTTCATGTCACGATTGCGTCCAATATTCTGACTTATGAGTTTCCATGGTCAGACCACATCCTTTGACTTAAACACATAAAGACGAGTGTGAGAACTGAGGTGGGCTTCAGTGCATCTTACCATCACATCCAAGAGAGAAAGAAGAAATGTTCTGCCTGAGGGACTTCACTGGTTTCTTCTCCTGCATGGTCCTCCTCATTGTCCACTCACCTGCAGAGGAGAAAGTGAGGGAGCTTCACTTCACTTATGAGTGACTTTAATGACGATTCAGCAGAAAACTAGACCGCTGGAGAAAAGTGAATGTGAAAGCAAGCAGGTGGGACAAATGCACAAAAGATAAAACCCTCAGAATGGTTTATTTCTGGAGAACAGGAGGCTATAATTTATTGTTACCTTAATGAAATGTAGGAACATGTGAGTTTTGTTTAATCAGTACAACAATGTAAGTGTAAAACAGGAACATAGCACTTTGTGAAACAATTAATAAACAGTGGGATAACAATCAAATATGAGAAACTAACCAGTGAGCATTAGACATGTGGGGGGGCACAGTCACAGAAGAGATGTTGACATGGAAACTTTTCCTACATGACAGAAGATGGGCTGATTTATGATTGATTTATCTTTTGAGTTTATAGTTGTTTGTTTGATTCTGCCGAAGTGGCACTCAACATGGGGCCCAACACGGGGAAAGACCGGGGACACTTGAGCGCCATTAGGTATCAGATCTGACTAGTTAAAATGTGAACAACGGTGTAGAGACTATTAATTATCAATGATAACAGGCACAATTCATATTATAATTAATTACTGAGATATTGTAATTACTCATAGCAATAATGGTAAAAGTTGTTGTCCTGAGAGATATCTGAAATGAGAGAGAAAAAGAGAGAGAGAGACTTTCAGAGTACAAAGTGAAATAGTCATTGACATGTATTATAATAAATAAATGAATGAATGTGGGGGGGGCAGAGAGACAGAGAGAAGTGGAGAGGCGCTCAGTGCATGATGGGAGTTCCCCCAGCAGTCTAGACCTATAGCAGAATAACTAAGTGGTGGTTCAGGACTCACCTGATCCAGAACTAACTGTAGGCTTTATCAAAAAGGAACGTTTTAAGTTTAATATTGCACAGGTGGAAGAAAGCTGTCCTAGAGACTTGTTTTATGTGTTGGTCAAATGACATGTCCTGGTCAAACATAACTCCAAGGTTCCTCGCAGGTGAGCTGGAGGCCAAGCTGACACCATCCAAGGTGACTATCTGTTCAGACAGTGATTCTCTAAGATGTTTAGGGCCAATTACAATCACCTCAGTTCTGTCTGAATTTAGAAGTAAGAAGTTTTGGGTCATCCAGGCCTTGATGTTCTGAGACATTCTTGAAGTTGAACTAATTGATTTGATTCATCATGCTTCATAGAAATGTACAGCTGGGTGTCATCTGTGTAACAATGGTAGTGGGGAGGGGAGCATATATAGGGAGAAGAATATCAGTCCAAGGACAGAACCTTGTGGAGCTCCATGACTAACTTGAATGTGCATGGAGGGGTCATCGTTGATGTTAACAAATTGAAATCTATCTGATAAATGTGATTTGAACCAGTCTAGTGCAGTTCCTCTGATCCCTATATGTTGTTCTAGTCTCTGTAACAGGATCTTATGATCTATGGTGTCATAGATGAAACTAATGAAACTAATAAGGTCAGTTCAGGAAGATCAATAGAAGAAAATTGGTTCAAAAATAAATCTGGTTCTATGGTTTCAGGACCAGACAATGTATGTATGTATGTGCTATTCATTGGGAGGAGGTGGTGGATTTTATCCCAGATGGTTATAATTTTATTTGTAAAGAAGCTCATGAAATCATTGCTTCTCAGGGTTAGAGGAATAGATGGGTCAGTAGAGGTATGACTGTCTGTCAGTCTGGCTACAGAGCTGAAGAGGACCTGGGGTTGTTCTTATTTTCTTCTATTAATAATGAATAATAAGAGGTTCTGGCATTTCTAAGTGCTTTCTTGTAATGTATCAAGCTATCCTTCCAGGCTAGGTGAAAGACATGTTTATTGGTGGAACGCCACTTCCTCCCTAGTTTCCTTGATATCTGTTTTAGAACACGTGTCTGAGATTTATACCACGGAGCTGATCTCCTCTGATTTGCCTTCTTCTTTTTTAGAGTGGCGACAGCATCAAGGATTGTTTTTAATGAAGCTGCTGTACTATTAGCTAAGTTATCAACTAGTGTGGGGGTAAAGTTTAGATAACTTTCCTGTATTGTACTGACACATGGCTGAGAGGTAAGTGTACAAGGAAGCAGTTCTTTAAATTTATTCACAGTTTTATCAGATAAACACCAACTATAATAGAATTTCTGTCCAGAATCGGTGTAATTAGTGATTGTAAATTCAAATGTAATTGAAAAATGGTCGGACAGAAGAGGGTTCTGTTGAAATATTATTACATTTTCAATGTCTATGCCATATGTCAGAACAAGATCGAGAGTGTGATTCAGACAGTGAGTGGGTTTATTCACATGTTGAATGAAACCGATTACGTCTATTATTGATTTGAAAGCTGAACTAAGGCTGACCTTGGCCACATCTACATGAAGGTTGAGTTGACTTCCTTGTTTGCCAGGATTACCACGCCACTCACTCACATTGCAAAGTCTATTTTGCCACCTACTGGGGACAACGGGTATCGCCCTACAGTCCCTTAAGGTGGAGGAGGTGAGTTTCCCCTGTTTCTAAAAGTGACACAAGGCATTTTTAAATATATTAATGAGAAAATAATGGTGGGGGGACGACGTTAATTACAACAGCTAATAGATGAAAGGTTCTGGACATAATATGACCTAATAAAATGTCCAGACCCCCCCACCCACACCCCCCCAAGTCTCCATCAACCCGGGCTTCCTCCTCTTCCTCTTGCCTCATGTGATCCTCCCTCTCTTGTCATGACTCACCTCTGAGAGACCTTCATCTTTTTAAAAACATCACCTGGATAATAAGTCCCTGTGACTGCTGAGGTATAATACTCTATACCTCAATTCAGAAGGAGAGGCATGAACATTTTAGAAAACTGATTAAAACTCTTGACAGTTGCAAGAGCAGATAAAAAAATATATATGATAATTTCACATTTCTTAAGATGGAATGTGKTTTTATGTTTAAGAAGGTTTGTGGGAGCCATCTGAAGAAGAGGAAGAAAGAAAACACAGCARAGAAAATGTTTTTATTTGAACACTGATCTTACGACCGTGAAACCAGAAAATACACGATGCTGGGAATGAGCTGAAATGTTACAAGAGTCAGCTGAGAGAAAGAAAAGCTGAGCTGAGACAAACAATGTTCCTTCTTTATTTCTGCCTCTGCCTTTATGACGAGAGAACATGTTGGCGTGATAGAAGAACTGTATWAGAACATGGATCAGTGATGATGAGATAATACAACATGGCCCAGAATCCACCTTTGTGACAAAATCTTTCCACAAGACTTGAGCTGAAGCCTCAGGTTCAATCTAGTATCTTCATTGAGAAAAGTGGTGAATGTGTCTTGTTGACATCAGTCTGGTTGAAGGACTCAACAATGTCCCTTTGGAGATTTGCTTTCATGATAAACAAGTGTCTGTTCAGTTCAGATTGAAGAATNCATCATTTTTACACAAGACAGACAAAAACAAGCAATGCAATAAAAAAACTGAATCATCTTCATCTGGTTTTCTTTATTCTCACATCACGTGATAATGACAGATGAGCGACAGCATCAGTTGCAGACCCACAGGAGACTTTGTGACATGCGCACATACAGTATAGGTATGTTTTTTCAAATCAATATCAGTTTTATACTTCAAACACCTAAGGGATGAGTTGGGGTCATAAGTCTCTGGCAGCGTTATTTTCATGTTTGGGGGCTGAAGGATTGGGAACCCCTGGAAGACATTAACAACAAACACCAAACATCCTGAGTGGCAGTGCAGTTGAGTCATTTGCAGCAAGAAAACTCGTTTCAGTTTCCGAATTCACAATTCTGTTTTCTGAAGGTTTGCATTGCACAGTGACTGTGTGAACATGAAATAAACATCTTGAATCTTGAATCTTGTCTGTGTGTGTATTGATGAAGAGTGGTTTGGTGCAGTCGGAGAAACAGATGTCTGAGGTGACAGAATCTAAACCTCACGTTGCTCTATGTCCTTCACACTTCAGTTTAAAGACATATCACTCAGGGTCTTCAGAGGAAGTCTTCACCACTTTGTCAACAACAGGCACAAAGTGTTCACTCAAGTCAGACATGACACGTTTCGAGTGAGACATCTTTCAACACAATGAACCACGATGCAAGGAAAGGAAGAAAACAAAAGCAGACTGGCTCACTGGATAGCAGTGTCACTTTTATGGTGTTTATTCAGCATGTAAAACCCACGCCTGTGCATAAGATTCCAGTGCAAAGAACATAGGTGACTTTGAACACTCCACTCGCAGATACTGTTCTGACCATACAAAATGTATTGTACCTTTAATAAGATTGTGGATTTCTCTGGGTTTTAACATTGTTGGAAGCATTTTGAATAATGTAAATACACAAGTCAGCATAATATAAAACACGTGTCCAGTCTTTTTTTTGGACATTTTAATGAAGAATTGTATAAATGCAACTTTCCTTTTTATGCTGTTTTAATATGTTATTGTTTCATGCTCTCTCAACAGCGTAAAGTAAATAGCTACACAAAAACTTTTTTTACAACTGAAAGAGCCACAGAACCCCTCCCGTCTTATCTTAGCTTAACAACACATTTGACTTGAAAGAAAACTGGTTCGGCAATGTGGTTATTTCAGAGCAGGGGGACAGGAAGTGTGCAGTCTCCAGACAGTGGTACTACCTAGAAATCATGTGTGTATGTGAACACAAGTTTTAAAACAGCTCTGACCTAACAACAGTCACCATCCGTGTTGAGTGATGATGGAAGGTCCCAGATGTGGAAGCACTGATCCGCTGCAGCAGAGAAAATCTGAGTGCTGTTGGGGTTTGAGGCCAAGTGCAGGACTCGATGAGAATGACCTACAAAAAACAATAACACCAAGATTTAAGGGTTAATATTAAAATACATTTAGGTTTCCCTGTAAATAAAAAGTTATTAATGTGCCACAATTATGTCCTGTGTTCTTGAGCTTTGATTAATCTGTAATCTGCACATTTCGAGGACTGATATCTATGAGTGTGTGTGTGTGTGTGTTTGTGTGTTCATCATATTTCAGGTTCTCTAACCTGTGAGCTGATACACCGGGTTGAGGGAAGTGAACCCCCAGCTCCAGCAGGTGACTTGGTGATGAGGAAGGCCGTGACCTGTGACGAGACACTTCTTCTTTTCAGCCCATTGTAGAGAACAGATCTGCAACTGGACACATTAGGACTTGTCCATCCAACATGTGCACACGGTAAAATACTTCTGCAATAATTTAAGCACCTGCGAGTTGGTGTTGGCAGAATTCACGCAAGTCCCTGATTGTGTGTCCCAGATTCTCAGCTTTCCGTCTTTCCATCCTCCACCTGTAGCGATTATCTTTTCTCGCCATGGACACCATCCCATCGCCTAATCACACAAACACAGTGAAAATAAAACAGAAGACACCCAACACCCAGTGAAGAGTTGCAGGATTAAATAACAGTGTTTCACCAACCAGGTTCAAACAGGTTTACACACACAAAAGTGTTAAAACACAGCTTACAAAGTTTTGTATATAGTTGTACTTTATATATATAACTATAGTTTGTTGAATTTATAAAATTATAGAACGACATTAGTTGACGAAATATTAGATAGTGATCATGGTATCAAGGTTCTGCCGATACTCAATCAGTCATGAGTCAGCCTCAGCTGTCAATCATGACGCCTCAGCCCATTTTTATAGCATCAAATAAAACCAGTAAAACCAAACTAATTGATTTAAACAAATGTTAAAAGATCTGAGTTTTTCCAGACTGGAAACACAAGTAAACAGAAAAATCACACAAGTAGTTTCTCATGTCCCAGTTTCTAGTCCACTGACCTTAACAGCACTGGGCTGTTTCATGGTCGTCACCGGCTGTTTTGTCCTTGTGAGTCCTGCAATGTCCCCGTCCCATATATGGAGGAGGCCGTCTGCGGAGCCGCTGGCCAGCCAGTCGTCTCCTGGTGACCACTGAAGGCTGCAGATCCCCTCGTCCTGCAGAGCTGCACCAACCAGAGGCACAGGAGCCCGGGGGTCAAGGTGATGGATATGTCCGAGAACTGAGCCGCTGTTAGATGGTGGACACTGTTATTTCCCTGCAGTTGATAAATAATGTTCTGCTTTGTCATGCTCAGGACATAGTCACCTACATTTATTTTGCTGAGGAATTAAACCGTTTTCTGTGTAATATGGTACACTGAACACACACACACACACTGTATGGAGGACCAGAAATGACCTAAGCATAAATAAATAAATGTGGAAATAAATAAATAAATGTCTTAAATTCATTTACACATTTATTTATTTCTGTGTTCCAGTTCCACTACTTCTGCCTGTCAATGCTGACTGCTTTGCAGTAGTTGCTGTTTGCACTGCTGTGTCAGTTGACACTTTAAGAGACACACAGGTGTGTCAGTTCACACTTAGTGTCTCCTGGTGACCACTGAAAGCTGCAGAACAAGTGTGAACTGACAAACTCATTTTTTATTGGGATGATTCAGTAAGAAACTAACGATCATGTGTTTAGTTATCTATCGATGGCTTCAGATCATGTCGGCGTGTCGCTCTAGTGATTTTATCACTGACTGCGAGCGTCTCCTCTCATGTTGAACTGAGCACAACATGTTGACGACTCATTTTTCATGATGTTTAAATGATAAACTCTGGAATCAAACAAACACTGAGTTACTTCATGTACTGATCAGGTCCTGATAACTAGTGATGGTGTTAGTTAAAGTGAGAGCAGAGTGGAGGAGGAAACAGAAACTCCAGCTCGATACAAACCAACTGCAGCTTCAGCTCTGATCATGAAGCAGCTGATCACTGAGCAGCTGTTACCAGAGAAACTCTGTGTTTCACTGTTTCTACTGCTCTTAAACTAAGTCTCTGATCTGCTGCTTCACGTGAACGTTCACTCAGTTTGCTAACTACACTACAGGGTTTCGATCATGTGTCAGATCATGTCTGCGTGTAGCACTTTTAAAGTGTGAACAGACACACCTGTGTGTCTTTTAAAGTGTGAACTGACACAACACTGCAAACAGCAACTATTGCACAACAGTCAGCACTGACGGGAAGAAGTAGTCAGTAAATAAATGTGGAAATAAATAAATGTGGAATTAAATTTAAAGGTACAGCTTGTTTTCTGATGTCTAGTGTTGAAGTTGCATGTTGCAGCTGAACACCCCTCACCTCCCCCTCTCCTTCCAAACATGAAAGAGAACCTGTGGAAGCCTTTAATTGTCATAAAAACTCAGAAGGTGTTTAGTTTGTCCAGTCTGGACTGATGTAAAAAACATGGCGGCCTCCGTAGAGAGGGTCCCCTCCATGTTAATATAAAGTATTTTAAAATAAAGGGCCTTTTCTGGGGTAAAGAAAACTACAAATCATAAAATTTAGATGAAACAGCTATTGAAAACATCATGAGGATTATTCTACATTTAATTTCTCCCAATAGTTCCCTTTCACCTAAATCTTACACACTGGACCTTTATTTATTTATACTTAAGTCAGTTCTGGTCCTCCAAACACCAGTACCTGCTCAGTAACTGCTGTTTCCAGGAAAGCGCTCTGACCACAGACAGGTGTGATGTCATACGTCTCATAATCTGCTTCGTTTCAACATCCCACAGCTGAGGAGTCAAAGAAAGACAAAGAAACCACAAACCGTCAGCCTGCTGATGCAACAGGTCCTTTGCACAGACCCCTTTAACTACACTCTGTATGAATAAGAGTTCACCCCTCTACCAGTTCATTTACTTGAAGTGCTTACCTGCACATCACCTCGTCTGGTCCCAATGCACAGAGCTCTGCCGTCTCTGCTCCAGCACAGAGACGAGACGGACTGATGGTGTCCAGTTGGTAGACTCTGCTCCAGATTTCCCACCAGAACTCTGGTTTCTGAATTCCAGAGGTAAACAGAACAGCCCAGGGCTAATGCAACCACGCCATTACAACTGCAGTCGAGAACGTTCGTGTCTGAGGGGGAAGAGATGGAGGAGAGTGCGCTTATTTGACCTTACGATGGTCAGACAAATAGGAGCTTTTCACTGGTGCTTTACAGCTTATTGGCAATAACAACGTGTACAAATTTAAATTATAATAATACTGAAGGCCAGTAAACACAAACCCCACCATGCACTGATGAAAAAAAAAAATCAGGAATTGAACAAGGTCTCTTAAATTGTAAAAGAGAATTAAATTCCTACATTTGTTTATTCTAACTGTTCAGTTATACTTTGTGTTGTTATCTCCTGAATCCTATTTTAAAGGCTTCTCCACAGTACTCAGTACTTTTTACAACGTCCAGATGTGTTAGGCAATTACTTACAGCTTTTTTTTTTTAAATATGAAAGCATTTATTTGTGACACACAGACAGCATAGGAGGCATTAACTAACTTTTAATCTTTTCATGGGTCGTTGAGGCTCAGTTTTCTTCCTCGTGCATTTGAGAGTAAAGCAGAATTTGTGTCTTCTCTTACAATAGTCATTCAGAAGCGACGGAGCTGCCAACTTCATCACTGGTGTTCCCTGCGGACCGTCTGGAGCTTTGTCCAGAACTGTGAAGGGCTGCAAACTACATCTTCTCACATCAGCGCCTGTCAAACAAAAAGAACATGCACGACGTTTCACATCAGCAGTACATCTTTGGTTTACTGGTGATAGTCTCAAACACATGTATTCTCTTAGTTATTCTGTCGTCAGGTTTGAAACAAGAAACATTAAACCCTTTAAATATTGGATTAATGACCCCTGACCATATGTACACTGAGGCTTATAGACGCAAACTGTTCAACAACTGTAAAACAACTTCCATGTGTGTGTGTGTGTGTGTGTGTGTGTGTGTGTGT